TTGCCCACTTCAATGTTCGTCCATTATTTCGCGTCCTCATATTACTTAAATATCCTGAAAATATACCATAAATATATCATAGTATTTAAATCCATCTAATAAATAAATAAGTTGAAAAATATATAAGTGCGATAAAATTAATCGTATCAAAATACGCTAATAAATATATAAAACACACACTTTTTCTGACCAATCAAATCTCCCCAAACTTAAACCGTTGCTTGTCCCCAAGCAACTTAGATTAAAAGCACATATATGGATAAGAAAACAAGTACGTGGAACTTTACTCAGGGCCTCACAATTCTCACATAAGTGCATAGTTCAAACAACTCAAACCAATTTATCCGGACTCAAGACGAAATCATTCTAGAAACTCAAACACATCAAGTATCAATCCAAGTGACCACCATAGTTTGTCAATCTCTTTAACGAATGTACCGATCAATGCAACTAATGACACCCCTCTCTTTGCTAACAAATCTAGTTTCTTTCCGTTTCTAGCCGAAGTCCAAACGTCTCATTCTCCAAGCTCTTTTTTTTCTCTCTTTTTTTATTCTTTTTTTTTTAGAGTAGGGAACGACAACTCCGTCACAACCCGCGGGTTTTAGCCTTTCGTGCTTGTATAGATATGAAAATTATTGGAATTATACACTAGTGCCTCCACGGATTGGCAGCTGTTGCAGCCCATGACTTTTTTTTTCTATTTTTTTTATTATTATTATTTTCTTTTTTTTTTTCCAAAGGCTTTTCAACTCCACCAATTATTCCTCCATCCTCATTATTTTTTTTTTTCGACTATGAGACATAGAAACCCCAACTTTCAACTTCAAGTCCCCAAACTTAATCAACATTGATTAAAACAATCACAAGCACATCTCAACAATACAAATCGTCTCAAAACCAACTCACCACAATAAGTCACAAAAAAATCAACCTTCATGTCTTTGTCCCCAAAATAAAACACCTCAAGAATTTAACCAAATAAAATTAACCCAAGCCATTTAAACTAGCACAATAAATCTAAACTAGCTCTCATATCATCATCGCAAAATTCCACGTACATGCAATCTCATGCACACACAAGACTAACATATATAATGCAATAAATATAAGACTCAAACTCTAAGGGGCAAAAATATAATCACATAATAAACATGAATGCTCACCAAGAAACCACCTCCCCAAACTTAGAGTTTGCATATATCATCTACACCAATAATCACAAATAAAATAGAGGTAAAAGAAACGAGTTCACCTTAGTCAATGAGGAAGAAGTCGCCGAATCACCCACACCATTGGGTTGCCTCCCAACAAGCGCCTCTTTTTATTGTCGTTGGCCCGACTTATTGCTCCTTCTCATCAAAGGGTCCATGGTGGCTTCCGAGGTGGCCTCAAGGGAGCCACACAACGCACCACACCATGCTTTTCAAAACATTCACTCTCCGGTGTTGGGTGTTTCACCGGGTCTTTCTCCATGGAAATGACTCCTCATGAATGTATAGCAACCCATGCTCAATTACGGTCACCGTCTCATCAAACTCCCATTTGCACCTTTCTTTCTGTTTGATCGTCTCAAGAGAAGGCATATCAAGGCTCAAGACATGCTTCAGTGCATCCTTGCTCAGTACCCACTTCATATTGGAAGAGATAAGGCAAGGTCCAACTTCTATCGGCACAAGAGCGGGAAGAACGGTACGCCTTTTGGCTCCAGCAGGTCGAGTACTGGGTCCAGCAAGTCGAGTACGGGGTACCCCAGTACTCTGCTGCTTCGACTCTGCTTTCTCTATATTCGTGATTTTTTCGTTCTCCAGCTCGTATGTGCACTCTTCAGGTTCCTCGAGGTAGTCGCTGCACAAATGGGTGACGCTCGAACTCATTGGACTCGTTTCGAGCCGACACACTAGTCGGTCCATTTGTTCCGCCAGTTGGCTCATTTGAACTTGTAAATTCCTTATGTGTATTCCTTGGTTGTTGATGCTCGCCTCTTGGCTCTTGATGCTTGCCTCAACACTTTGCTGAAAGTTCAGGGTGTGAGCCGTAACCTCCATCATCATCTCCTCGAGCGACGGACCAGGATCTCTCTCAACAATAAGCTCGCAGAACTCTTGCCGAAATTTCAATGTGTTTAACCTGAATGCCTCTACCATATCCTCCACAGACGAGCTGGGATTTCGCGCAATTGGTGGCTCGGAGTACCCATGGAAAGAGTTCGAGTACTCTCCCAAGCGGTATCCATACTCATCGGTATAAAAATAGTCTTGCTCGTTCCTTCGCCAACCACTAGATCCTCTTACGCCTTGATCAATCCACGGGCCTCGTATCTCTCTCTCTCATATTGGTAAGGTGTATGGTGGGTATAAAAGTCTTGATAATAGGCTGCCATCTCGAAAAATTGCGCAAAGCTCGATCAAAATCGCCCAAAGACAAGTTATTCTCGCGAGTATGGGGGTCTGTCCAGCAGAGTACTGGGGCACCCAATATTCTGCAAGTAAACAAAAACAAAGAAAAAGAGGGGGGGTAAAAGATGATAAAAAAAAAATCCTAATAAAAATAAAATAAAATAAAATAATTCAATTAGTACTTAAAAATCACAATTCAATAGCGCCACTCCCCGGCAACGGCGCCAAAATTTGACCGCGCGTCGCAACGCAGCAAAATTATAATTTATATTTTCCTCGACTAACCTCTACTAGCTAATAGTAGTGGCGAGCAAGGGTCGATCCCACGAGGAGTGTGAACCAAATTGTGATATTCTTGTATGAATTGAAATTATAAAAAGCGATAAATGGGGGGATTGGGTTGATTTAATAACTAACCTAAAATCTAATGCAATAAATAAAATCTAAACAAAAGAAATAAAAATAAAATATAATAAAATAAGAGAAACATCTAGTTCACGGTTCGGTCTACACCCTCGACTGACTCGTCTAATCAATTCTGGCATCAAATCTCGCTATCTTATGGAATTACTAGCCCTAGGTAACGACACGGTCTGTTACCCGAATTTTTCCTTATTTTTAATCTAACCGCGAGACGCTCTACGATTAAATCTGACCTCTTGAACAGTCTAGGAAACGCTTCCTAAATTTAATTCAATTAGCCGCTTTACGATTTAGAAAAATAGGCTAGACTAAGTAGTGAACTCAACCGCGTTCGTTCACTTAAATAGGTCGTGTTATCCCCGGTAGTTACCATCTTCCAGTTACCTCTTAGGAATTAAACACGACAACAATTACGGATTGAAGATCTAATTCAGATGTAGATATGCAAAGCCTAATCTAGGTGATCAAACTAAACAAGACTCAACACATCATGGTTAATTATTCAAAATAACACAAACAATTCCAAAAGATAACTTAATAATCAACCAAGAAAATCAACCAAACATCGTCAAGTCGTAGGGTTCAACTTCCCCGAAACTAGAAATAAAAACTAGCCTAACATGCTAAATAAAAGTAAAAAGATAAAAGAGAGAGATTAATTATCTCCCTCGTGTGCGGGTGCGGCCTCCCTCCGCAATTGATCGGCTTCCTCGTCTTTCTGCTTTGTTCCGTATGCGGCCCACGTATCTATTTCTCTCCAAATCTGGCGGCTGTCAATTCCCCAGTTATATGCGTGCGTGAATTGATATTCTCCCTCTTTTTTGGATACTAATATAATTCTTTCTCCTCAAGTAAATAGCTCCAAAGTGGGCTTGCTTGTATATCCTCCCCCATTCTTTTTGTCCTCTGTTCCCTTTTAATTCCTCTTTTTCCCCTAGGCTTACGTGAATCTTCCCGTAAATAATTCTCCATTCAGTAGCAACTAAATCATTAGTGCATTATGACTCCCCAAATACTCTTCTGAAGTCCATAAACCGCAGCCCAACTCTCTCATTCAATCATTGGCCCAAATCAAATCCAATTGACCTTAATATGGGGCTTAATATATATGGTCCGCTATTGGGTCCCAAAAATTGTCCGCTTCAATGTTCGTCCATTATTTCGCGTCCTCATATTACTTAAATATCCTGAAAATATACCATAAATATATCATAGTATTTAAATCCATATAATAAATAAATAAGTTGAAAAATATATAAGTGCGATAAAATTAATCGTATCAAAATACGCTAATAAATATATAAAACACACACTTTTTCTGACCAATCAAATAGACATTGAAAATTTTCAATAAAAGATCTACCAATGAAATATCCATGGAAAATTTCAGCGGAATACCATACCGTTGGATTTTCATTGTAATATAACAATTTTATTTTGTATTCCTTTTTAAACATTAAAAATTTTATGTTGTAATTTTTCTTATTGATTTAATATTGTTCATAAGTATATAAATTCTTTATGAGTATTTATTGTGTTTTTTTGTTGTATCAATTTTTATTTTATTAAATGAGTTAGGATATGAATTTGCAAGACAAAGAAGAATAAAAAAATAAATCTATTACTAATTTTTGACAACGCATTAAATGGGAAAACAATATTATTTAAATTAAGTTGTGAATCCCGGAAAAAAATCGAAGCAGAGGTATATATATACTCAATTTAAAATATGTAAATGTACCGAAAAAAAATAAATTAAAATGTGTAATTACTTATATTTGTTCCTAAGCTGAAAAAAAAAAAAAAACAACAAAACACAACTACAATTGCGTAATTTGCGGATAAGCAACACAAAATCACACCGACTTATTTCCTTTGTTTTTGGTACAGGGACCTTCCGGTTTCCGGATTCACAGGGGGACCGACTAATCCGGAATCGAGCCGAGTAGAACTACAAGGGCGGCAAAGCTCTCCTTCAAGAGTTTTAACCTTTGTTAATTCAACAACACGACGAAGTGAACAAACAAAAACATAACTATGCACGAAACAGAAAAACCAAGACTGACAACAAATGAAAAATTAAGCGGACAAGAAACAAATTAAATCACATAAAGCCACCGCATTTCAGTGGCTTAAATTATTCATTATATAACCCTGACAGCACCACAGCCACATCGTCTAGCTGAGGGCATTGCAAACCCTCCTTATGACCCCACGGGACCCCACCAACGGCGAAATCTCAGACATCCTGAGCATGGCGCTCGCGAAGTCGGAGGCGAAGCGCCGACTGTCGTTGTTGTAGGTGTTGACTAGGGCATTGGTTAACCCACTGGTGAAAAGTACCTGATCCGACTGGAGGAGCCCCCGCCGCTGGACCAGGTTTCTGTAGTAGTTGTTGTCGAACGAGTTGGGGGTTTGGATGTCGAGCGGGGCAAGGATGCTGTTCCCGCCCGACTGTGGGCATGTGCTTCTTCTTGTGGTTGCAAAGTTGGGGTCGATGTCCGTGCCGTTGCTGTAGATTCTGGCCCGGAAAAATTGGCACTGGGCTAGCCCCAGCGTGTGTGCCCCTGCGTGCATGCAAAACAGCAGGTGACTTGGCAAATATTGCATGAGTTGTTTGTCACAATTTTTTCATGCATGATGATGAGTTGAAATTAGAGTATCAATCCACTTGTATTTTTATTTTTTTTTGTTCATCTTGTTGTTTATTATTGGCATAAATTGCATTTTTAATTATGTTGGTTTAACGTGATACTAATTTTATTTAGTTCTAAGCATTCAAATATTTTACCTTTTAGTCATTAGACTGAAATTGCAACGAATTCTCAAATTTACGTATTTTCGATTTGCAGTTTACGTTATTTAGTTTAAAATTTTGTTCCAATTTCAGTCTTGTAATTTTAACATTCTATTGCAATTTTGGTCCTCAAAGGACTGATGAAATTACAGCAAAATATTAAATTACATGACCAGAAAAGCAAAAAGTTGGAATTTTCGGATTAGAATTGCTAGAACGTTTAACCAACAGGGCTAAAAATACATTTTTATTATTATTATCTTCTCACGCACATACCTGAGAGGGCAACCATGTCTGTCTGACTGAGTCCCTTATTGCGGAAAGCAGTAATGAGGCCTTGTGCACTAGAAGAAGGTCCCGGCAAATCTGTGTTTGCTGCATTGAAGTTGGCAGTCGTAGAATCCCGTCTCCCAACTCTTACATTCCATGACGGCCCTCCAACCTATCAATTAACAAGTTGTCGTAAATACACACCCGATTTCATTTCACCTTGGAGTAAATAACACGATATATGTATATATATATATATATACTTACAGCAACTGAGGCATCACGTGCAGCCACGGCTAAAACGTCGGCGCACGAGACGACGCCCGGGCAAATACCCTCGACTGCTCTCTTGGCAGCCTCAATCACATCAAACCCTCTGGCGGAATTGGCGTTTGGGCCAGCCGATTTCTCGCTTCGTATTGTGGGCGAGTCGTCCAGCAGGATGGAAGCGTCGCAGCCTTGTACAAAGCAGTCGTGAAAATGTAGGCGGATGAGGGAGGCAGCCATGCGGCGCTCACGGGAAATCGCCTGCTGGATGGATGTACGGATTGTACTCAGTGCATTGGGACATGTACGGTTATAGAAAGTCGGGGACAACTGGGCTTGGGTCGGGGTGGTGGAGATGAGTAGTGAGATTGTTGTTAAGGTTAGGACAAAGTTGACGGCTTTGGTCGTGCCCATGTTGCGAAAAAGAGATATAGAAACTAATTGAAATCGAAAGACACGTACAAGTGCTAAAGTCAATTTACTTGGAGATGAAGGTGATTGAGAAGTTGGGTGCTGAATTTATAGGGAGCAGGGATGAACGTGTGTGTGTGTGTTTGAATTTAATCTGGTCACTGCTGATCGGTAAAACGCGTTGCTGACATTGTTATTGTAATATTTACTAAGGAAAATTGGTGCTTGTTTTGATTGTTTTGTTTTTTCCTTAGTTCGTTTGTGAAAGAATCATTCAGTATATATGAACGTAGATTTTGTCAAAGGATGGCTTTGAATGTATATACAAAACTCTAAAACTTGTGACTTACAGCTAATCATGGAACGGATAAAGACTTGTGCTACGTACCTAATCATTAACTAATAATTTCAAAAGTCAGAAAGAGTAGAATTAGTTCATTGGTGGCGATCATAATAATAATTTCAAGGTTGAATTAAGCTTATAATACTCTTATCTTGTGATTAAGCTAATCGAAACATCATGTTCCCATATAGCAAGCTCTGTGCATATAGAAAGATTTTATTGAAATCTTGTAAGAAATTATTCATGTCATTTGTGCTCGGCCCATATGTGTGGACACAGTTTGGCCAAATAAGAAAAACTCATGGTTTTAGTCTAGACTAGTAATAGACAATTTAATTAGACAATCAAAACATCATCTATATCTATCTACAGAAATTCTATGGTGCCACATGTGACACGTGTTATGGTGCCACAACATGATGTGGCACATCATGATTGGTGCCACAACATGATGTGTGATAGTTGTGGCACCAATCATAATGTGCCACATCATGTTGTGACACCATAATATGGTGTCACATGTGGCACCATAGAATTTCCATATCTATCTATCTATATCTATTCTATATCTATATCTATATTTATACCTATATCTATATCTATCTATATCTATATCTATACTACTATAAAAGAACGAGTGTTTTTGTAAAAATATGAGTTGTCTAAAACACCCTTACTCTGACATTTTTTTAATGGCAAATTAGTAATACACTAATATTAATCTCATGGAAAAAATTCAAAACTAGTCCCACAAGTTGAGGAGGTGCCATTTTTTGTCCCGCAAGAAAGCAATTATCACAAATAGTCCCACAACTTTCAAAAAGTAATAAAAAATAGGACTTTTGATGCGATTTCAGGCCTGAAAGGCCCGATAAGCCATGCGGCGCAGGCGTTTTTCTTGACATGCTGGCAGCTTTCATCACACGTGGCATGGCAGTAAACATGTGGGACTAGTTTTGATTTTTTGTTTTTTTATATTTTTATGTTATTAAATAAATCTAAGACAAAATTATGAAATAATATAATTATTTGTATTAGCTATTTATAAAAAAATTTAATTTTGAAGTAGGATACAATATACATTAAAATAAAATTTGAAAATATTTTTAATTATTGTTATTTTGTAATGCATTATTTCAAATAGGTATTCTATTAGCTTCTTTTTAATATTAAATATTATAAAATTTAAAAAATATTTTTATTAATCAGATAATTATAGGTAACATTTTTTATTCATGACATAATTAATGAAAAATATAGTAAAAGAGTGTTAACTATAATTACGTCATGAATAAAATTATTTTGTAATTTTATAATAATTTAATTTTAAAGTTAATTTATTTTTAATAATTACTATATATTTTATTATATAATTATAAAATTACAAATAAAAATAAATATTTTATGAATAAAAATGTTAGCTATAATTATGTCATGAATAAAACTATTTTTGTAATTTTATAAATTATTCCATATATGTCTTTTTCATTAGTCGAAAATTGATTTTATAGTATAGACGCTTATGACCTCTCCTTCTAATTTGGTGACCATCCGTCTGACATGCCACTTAGTAAGTTGAATAAAACGGTTTTTGTAATCTGATAATTCAATTTTATAGTAAATTATTTATAAATATTTTTATTAAATAATTATAAATATATAAAAAATTACTATATTTCTTACTAAATAACTATAAAATTAACAAAAAATATAGTAAAATTGTACAATTGTTGAAATGTATTATCGAATATTCACATTTCTAAATTTTTGTTTGTAATTTAGTAATTATTTAATTGAAAATATAGTAAAACATGTTAACTACAATGATCTCATGAATAAAAATATATTTTGTAATTTTATAATAATTTAATATTATAAAAAAGCTAAAGTAATACCTATTAAAAATAACACATCACAAAATAAAAGCAACTACAAATATTTTCTAAATTTATTTTAATGTATAATCTATCCTTATTCATAATTAAAATTGTTTATAATTAGTTATAATAAATAATTATATATATTTATGATCTTGTCTTAGATTTACTTAATAATATATTTATATTAATTAATATATGTAACAATTTATATAACAAAAGAAGAGCATAAGAATATAAAAATAGAAAAAAATTCAAAACTAGTCCCACAGGTTTTCTGCCATGCCACATGTGATAAACGCTGCCAGCTTGTCAAGAAAAACGCCACATCTGCGCCACACGGCTTATCGGGCCTTTCAGGCCCGAAATCGCATCAAAAGCCCTATTTTTTATTACTTTTTTAATGTTGTAGGACTATTTGTGGTAATGCTTTCTTGCGGGACAAAAAATGTCACCTCCCTCAAGCCGTGGGACTAGTTATGAATTTTTCCATTCATCTCATCTTATATTTTTTAATTAATAATTGATATTTACCTAAAAAACACTTTATTTGATATATTTTATTATTTCAAATTAGTAATATATTAAAACCTATTTAATATTTAAAAATACCCTTACTTTGACATATTTTTAATGGAAAATTGTAATACACTAATATTCATCTCATCCTATATTTTCAATTAATAACTATTATTTACCTAATAAGCACTTTATTTTATATATTTTTTTATGTCAAATTAGTAATCTATTAAAACACATTTAATATTTAATTAATTAAATAAAATTACACATATAAATCATTCAACAATTCTTAAAAATCAACCACAATATCTTACACCATTATTATTCAATAATTTGCTTTCTTCTCCCAAACTTTTTTTTTTTTTTTTCATGTCTCCAAAAACTCAACCCAACATTAACCAAAACAACAAAGCTTTGAAATGATATGGAATTGTTTTGAAAAAGTCCTTATTTTAATATAATTTTAAATAAAATCGTAATCATATTTAATGGTTTTAATCTATAAAATTTCTTTAAGAAAAACTGATGCAACAAAAATAAAATAATAAATAATTATAAAGAATTTAGATATTTTCAATTATTTATTTACCTATCTTCTAACAAACTGATAAATCTTGATAAAACATGACAACTTAGTTGAGGGGCAACTTGTATATAATAAATAATTTCAAAGATACATATTTATTTTTAATTAAGAGAAGATACCTAAAATTTTACTGAAATCATGCACACGTGAAATATATACAAATTCTAACAAACTAGAAAAGTGGAAGAATTCATTTGACTACTTCATTATTTAAGAAAAATAAACTCTTGTATTTAGAATTAGAATTGAAAATTGCACCTTAATTTTATTGGATTGAAATTCGATCCTACATAAATCTTCATATAAAAAAATTAATATATATTCAATTGCATGGTAATAATGTAATTATGCCAATTACATGAATTAATAAAGCAGACCTACCTCTCCAAATCCCGCAGCTCCTTAATGCTCGCACCTAAAGCTCACCAAATCCCCTAGCTCCTTCATACACGCACCTAAATCTTCCTAATCCCGCAGCTGTGTATTTTGCCGCGATCGATTCTTCGTTATTTCGAGCTCGATTTTACAATATATATATTCCATGAGATCTCATAAAAATCTCGATTCGCGAGTCCGAATATTTTGATTGAATTGCCATATCACATACTCGATGACATCAGGTATATTTTCCGATTAAACTTTCGATTTTGGTCAATTATTGTATGAAATTTAGTGTTGTTGGTTTAATTGTCTACATGCCAACATATGTAATATTCATATGATAATTTGTGGATAGTTGATCAGATGTAATTTGTTTTTTCATGCGATTTTAGGGATTTCATACGGTTTCTTGGTTGGGTTGCATAACCAATGGAATTAATTGACTCTCAACCAGGTATTGAGGACAATTTCATCTGTACTGTGATAAAGTGCAATAGTCGTTTCTATTTCGTGCAATTGCATGTTCATTTTAGTTCAATATTTGGGTTTATTTATTACTATATTTTATTTATTTTTTTTTAATTTTTTTCCTTGCAATGGCACTTAAGGAATGCAACTGCCGGTTACACAACAACAACTTTTAATCACACTGGGTGGAACAAAACATTGGATACCACACTGTGACAAATCGATTAAACCATATCAAGGACAACGATTCCAGGAATTACGTGAAGCGGTGAACTTCTACAAGACATATGCTCTTACTGTTTTGTTTGACGTGAGACATAGCACGTTGGTGAAAGCACGTGACAAAACGGTTATTTGGAAGTACCTCGTGTGCTCGCGAGAGGGTCACAAGTATCATGCAGTCATCAGTCCAACAGTACATGCCAAAGGACACGTGACAAGGCGTAGAGTGTCCAACCGGGTAGGATGTACTGCCAAGATTGGGATTCGATATGCTAGATTGAATGGATATATCGTTAAAACATTTGAGAAAAAACACAGCCACTCGATGACATCTGACGATTGCAAGTCACTAATGAAGATCAGTAGGTCGATGAATGCAGGACATCGGTCGTTCGTAATGAATTGCATAAAAGCAAATATAGGGTCGGTCAAGTCGCACCGATTGTATAAGGAGATGGTTGGAGAATATTCGAACATCGGAGCCACCAGTGTGGATTTCAAGAACTTTAAGCGGGAACTTCGTGCGTACATTTTAGGAGCTGATGCCCAATTCATTATCGAGAAATTCCATAATCGTCGGGAAGCAAGCTCAGCCCTCTACTTC